TTTTGTGGAATGAAATGCATTGACAGTAGTGACCAACGAGAGGCTGGATACAAGAGATTAGGTCAGAGCATAATTTAGTTTGCTCCAACTGCAATTAGCTGCAGCTTTCGTCACATTTAGAATTATATTTATTCATTCCAAGAAATTCAGAGAAAAAAAAAAACTTACAGTTCACCATTAGAATTTGTCAAGAAGCTCCCCTCAATTCCCTATTGACCTTTATTTTTAGCTTTAATTTGTGAAATCTGTGCTCCCCAACTGGAAGGTCACATCTTGTATTGCACAATAATCCTCATGATTTCAGTACTTTGGTACTTCACACAAATCAATGTGTATACAAGTCTGAAGAGTGAGCAGTTTAACAGCAGTCTATCACAACCTATCCTGATTTTGCCTTTATAAATAAAAAGAAACTGCGGATGCTGGAAATCTGAAATGAAAACAGAATTTACTGAAGTAAATTAGCAGGTCCGGCAGTATCTATTACCAAAAAGTAGAATTAATGTTTCGGGTTAATGTTCAAGTTCAGTGATCCTGCTTTAGAACCGCAGACCATAAGAAATAGGAGCAGAATTATGCCATTCAGCCCATCAGGTCTCTTCCACCACTTGATCATGGCTGATATGCTTCTCAATCACATTCTTCTGCTTTCTCCCCTCAACCTTTGATCCCCTTACCAATCAAGAAGCTGTCGCTGTCTTAAGTACACTGTCTTAAATACATTCAATGCCTTGGTCTCAACCGCCTTATGCAGCAATAAGCTCCACAGATTCACCATCCTTGGCTGAAGAAATTCCTCCTCATCACAGTTCTAAAGGATTCACCCTTCACTCTGAGGCTGTGCCCTCAGATCCTAGTCTCTTCTATGAGTGGAAACATCTTCTCAAAGTCCACTGTATCCAGGCCTCTCAGTATTCTTAGTTTCAATGAGATCTGTCCTCACATTCCAAACTCCATCAAGTACAGACCTAGAATCCTCAAATGCTCCTCATGTGAAAGCTCCTCACCCCTAGGATCATTCTTGTCAACCTCCTCTGAAATCCCTCCAAGGCCAGCACATCTTTCTTCACATATGGGGTCCAAAACTGCTCACAATATTCCAAATGTAGTCTGACCAGAGTCTTAAACAGCTTCAGCAGTACATTCCTGCTCTTGTACTCTAGCCCTCTTGAAATGAATGTTAACATTGCCTTTGTCTTCCCAACTGCCAACTGAATCTGCGTGCTCACCTTAAGAGAATCTTTAAGTCAGTTTGTGCTTTATATTTCCAAAGCCTTTCTCCATTTAGAAGAAAGTCTTTGCCTCTATTCTTCATACCAAAGTGCATAACCTGACACTTTCCCACATTGTATTCCACGTGCTACGTCTTTGCCCAGTCTCCTAGCCTAAGTCCTTGTGCAGCCTCCCATTTCCTCAACACTACCTGTCCCTCCACCTATCTTTGTGTCATCTGAACTTATCAACAATGCCCTCAGTTCCTTCATCCAGATTGTTAATGTATAATGTGAATAGCTGTTGTCCCAATACTGACTCATGCAGAACTACTCTAGTCACTGGCTGTCATCCTGAAACGGACCCCTTTATCCCCATTCTGCCAGTCAGCCAATTCTCTATCCATGCCAATACCTTGTCCCTTATGCTATGGGGTTAAAACTTCCAGTCTTCTGTTTCCCTCCCTTCTTAAACAGCGATATTACATTAGACATTCTCCATTCCTCTGGGATCCTACTTAACTCCAGTGACTCCTGAAAGATCACTACTAATGCCTCCACAATCTCCTCAGCTATATGGAGAAATGCTGACAGCATTTCTGTATCACCAATCTAGGGGCTGATAGTGTCTAGCAACAAACATCCAGGCCAAGAATACCAATAACGATTAGAACTTATTCCTTTAAGAGCCAGCCACAGTTCAAGTTCATTAACACAGTTTAACCTCTTGGATTGATCCCAAAACACTCCTGGGTTTTTATACCAGTACTTTTGTAAATGCCACATATCTTCCCTCAGCCAGTCTCCTGACTATCCCTACACCCTTGCCAGTTCCAGATTTATCAGTGTGTAGATTTTGACTGACATAAAAGGTGAACTTTTAAAATTTTTTTTTGGGATGCCAGCATCAACAGCTACATTGGCAGTTGCTGCCCATCCAGAAGCTCCTTCGAAAAGGTGGGGTCGAGCACTTCCTTGCACTTCTGCAGTCCATTTAGTAGTTTACCCACAGTGCTTTTAGGGAGGGAGTTTCAGGATATGACCCAGTAACACTCACATCGATATAATTCCAAGATCAGGACAGTGACAGACCTGGAGGGGAACTTGCAAGTGGTGGAGTTCAAATGCATTTTCTGCTCTTTACCTTTAAGGTGCTGGAGATTGAGAATTTGGAAGGTGCAGTCAAAGAAGCCCAAATGATTTGCAATTGTGCATCTTGCATGTGGTAAAATTATAGAGGGAAAAACAAACATGACCTCATCTTCACCAATCTGCCTGCCACATATGCATCAGTCCATGACTGTATTGGTGAGAGATCAAGATACAGACCTTTTGGAGATGAAGTTCCATCTTCACCTTAAGAACAACTTACATCAGGTAGTGTGGCACTGTCACTATGCTAAACAGAACAGACTTCGAACAGATCTAGCAACTCAAGATTGAGTATCCATGTGGCGTGGTGGGTCAATTGCTGCAGCAGCAGAAGCAGAAGCATATTTGAACATAATTCCCAAACTCATCAAG